TCACCTGGGCAGATGGTATCACCACTGGAGCCAGCTACAGACCAGCACCCTACCACCCTGGGGGATCAGAAGAGAACAGGTTGGAGCAAAGCTAACACTGAGATTCTGCTTCCTTAAAAGTAACCGTCACCACCATCAGTCAATTCTAATGCACAGTGACCCCATAAGACAGAGTTGTCATTGTCAGGTGCCATCGAGTCCGTCCTGACTCATAACGACCATTTATGCACAGCAGAACGAAACACTGCCCCATCCTGGGCCAACCTCAGTACTGTTGCCACACTTGAGTCTATTGATGCTGCCACTTGGCCAATCCATCTCGTTGAGGGATCTTCCTTTTTCTCTGACCCTCCCCCTTATCAAACATGATATCCTTCTCCAGTGACTGGTTCCTTCTGACAATATGTCCAAAGTATAAGAGAGGAAGTTTGGCCATCTTGGTCTCCAAGGAGCACTCTGGCTGCACTTCTTCCAAAACAGATCTGTTGGTTCTTTTGGCAGTCCATGGCACTTTCAGTATTCTCCTCCAACACCATAACTCAAAAGCATCAATTCTTCTACGGTCTTCCTTATTCACTGTCCAGCTTCCACATGCATATGAGGTTATTGAAAATACCATGGCTTGGGTCAGGCGCACCTTAGTCCTCAAGCTGATATCTTTGCTCTTCAACACTTTAAAAAGGTCTTGTGCAGCAGATTTGCCTAATGCAATAGGTCCTTTGATTTCTTGACTGCTGCTTCCACGAGTGTTGATAGTTGATAGATGGAGTAGAAATGCTATTTTGGGGTTTCCTAGACTGTAAATCTTTATAGGAACAGACAACTTTATCTTTCTTTAACTGACCTAGTGTTTAGCAGACCAGTGCTTAACCTACTGCACCACCAGGGCTCCCTCTGCATCTTTGTTGTTATTGTTGTTAAACTCTGACTCATAGCAACCCTGTATAGGGTTTCCGAGGAGCAGCTGGTGGGTTTGAACTGCTGACCTTGTGGTTCGCAGTCCAGTGCTTATCCTATAGCGCAACATCAGGAATCCTTAAAATGATTTATTTACAACTCTTAGGTGTTCATACCTAAGAAAATTCTGGAAGTGGGGTTCAGAGCTCTCCTTACAAAAGGTAGGTCTCTGTCCCTGAGTTGGGAACAATGAGGGCATCCCTGACTATTTCAGGAGTCTCCATCTACGTCACCTCCCCAAGGACACAGCTCCCAGACCAGGCCCGGGCAGGCAGCTGAGTCTGGAGCTAATCAGTGGCCTGGCCTAACCCATCTGGGTGTTCTCACTCCTAGGGGACCCAGTGCTGAGCCCACCCACCCCCAGCTTCGGCCCCAGGTACACTGAGTACCCACAAGCCCCACTAAGTCCAGTAGAGAGACCACAGAAATGCGGAGCAGGATTCTGCTCAGCTTCTCTCCAACGAAGCTTTCAGGATGTGGACATTGCTTCCAAAGAGCTTAACACAGCCTCATCTCCCACACAGATTAAACATCCTCTCATCATTTCAGTCTCCTGCTATTTTTCTTGGAAATCTCTCCTGGAGTTTGTGGGGTGTCCAGCCAATTGGCATCACGCCAACTGAGACTCCCAGTAGCCCATGTGTGCAGAGCAGAACTGTGTTCCACAGGGTATTCATGGTCAGAACATTCTGGAAGCAGATCACCTGACCTGTCTTCCAAATCACCTCTTAGTGAGTTCAAACATCCAACCCTTCTGTTAATATCAGGGTACATTATCAGCTTGCACCCCAGAGACTCTGTGGGCAGCCTAGTCCCATCCCAGGCATTGCCCTAGACACCCTGTTTGCCATGGAGCAGCTTCACCGTGGGGCACATCTGAGAGACTAAAGGCTTCACAAGGCTGACAGCTGCATCCTGGTCCACCTCTGACCCCAGCAGGCCAGCTGACTCTTGAAGCCAAAAACAAAGATCCCTGGACCCTGTCATTGCCATTATTGAACTGCAAAGACAGGACCACAATGTGATGCAACACAGTGCACACTCAGCTCCTGGCACAGTGGGTCTCCACCAAAGACTGTTCAGTGGGCACCTAATGTTTCCATTGCAGTAAAATCACATGTCCACCACAACCTATGAATAACCACGAACTCCGCAGAGACCACACCTGTTGTGTCAGGGTTTGGAGAGTGAAAGAAAGCCTAGGGCGTGTGACCAGGATTCATCCACCAACTGGACACAGGTCAGAAGAGGTGGACAATAGGATTCTTCTTGAATTCAGGTGTCACCCCAGGGCACGGGCCAGGTGTACCTGTATGAAGACATCTGTTCACTGGCCCTGAAGTCTGAAATTTACCAGCCTTGGCCTCAGCCTGCCTCCCAGCGTCTGCTGCTACTTTTCATTTTGGCAGAACCGGAAATCAGAACATGGCATGGAGAGGTATCCAGGATAACCAGGATCTTCCTGTGAGCTCTCCCAGGTGTGCCTCCCAAGCCTCTGTCTACAAAGGACCCACAGGGAAAGCATGAAGATTTGATACTCAGGAGCTCAGCAAATCCTCCCCTCACAGCAGCCACCCTGCCCCCTCCCCTCACCCCTCCTCTGGACAATGGAGGTTGTGAACAAAGCTCATGGTCACAGAGACCACCGGGCTCATCTGGCCAGTGCCCGAGGGTCTCCGTGGCACTGTATGCCAGGCCAAATGTGGGGAGCTAATGGGACTGGTGTGATGGTAAATGCCATACAACCTTCATGCCCCTGGGCCTGCTCCATTATGACTCTGCTTAATTAGGGTAATTAAGATGAAAGTGATCAATGCAAGGCAATTAGAAATCTCTTAAGAACTTGTCACCCCTGCACTGTGCTTCTCGAAGGTGAAGGAGCCAGAACACACCTGAGAGCCAGACCGGAAGCCAGGCCTGCTGGCCACACCTGCCATCTTCCTGGGTCTTGTCCTAGACCCCACACTACCTACCCTCTGGGAACAGCTTATCTGTCCCTGTCCATGGAGGCCACATCTCTGCCCACCAAGAGGGCATTCAAAACACAGCCCCATCTCAGTGTTCTCTGCCATGACTTTCACGTGCCCCAGCGGGCACTCCACTGATTCCTTGAACCTCTGCACCCCTCACTCAAAGCAGAACATCACTGCAGATACTCAGCTCCCCTCAGCCTTCCGGGAGCCCAGCAGCCCCAGCCAGCATCCTGCAGTTCACTCTTAAGCTGCTGGTGCTGATGGTGTATCCACGGTGTGCCGTGGAGTCCACGGTGTGCCGTGGAGTCGGTTCTGACTCATAGTGACTCAGTTACCCTGTATAGGGTTTCCAAGGCTGTAAATCCTTACGGGAGCAGAAAGTCTTGCCTTTCTCGTGAAATGGCTGGTAGTTGTAGATTCAAACTGCTGACCCTATGGTTAGCTGCCCGACTCATAATCACTGCGCTGCCAGAGCTCCTTGTTGCTGGGAGAGTCCTAAAGAGCTCCTGCTTGTAGTCCCGAACTGACGTGCTTCCCTCGGCTCTGAGCCTGGACCCAACCACGGACAGGTCTCTCTCCTCAGGACCCGCTGAAGGTCAGAGAGGAAGAAGAATGGCGTAGATAGGGGGATAGCCAGGCCAGGGGGCTGGACGTGGTCCCAGTGGTGAAGGACCCAAAGCAGGCCGAGATCAATCTCGGGTGGGGGGTGGGGGGAGTAACGCACGGTACACAGTACCCAAAGGAAACCAGATAGAGTGGAGGAGCTACAGGGAGGAGTCCAGACCCCATGAAGTTCCTCCCTGTCCGGGATTAGGGGAAGGGTGAGAGCAAGGGGAGGATTTTCCCCAAAACCCAGGCAGTCCCCACCCAACCCAAGCGCCTCAAGGCCCCTCTGAGCTCTCCCTTCATAGCCCCTCCTAGTAATGGAGACAGGGGTCGCAATGCAGGGCGCCCACCACCAGGGGCAGCGCGGAGCTGCAGGAGCCAGGGTGTTGACGATCTCCAGGGAGACGGCATTGCCTGCCCCAGGGCAGGGCCTGATGTCCAGGGCCCCGGCAGGCAGCGGTGGGAGAAGCAAGTATCTGCAAGAACCCGCAGGAACGCAGCCCAGCCCACTGCCCCTCTGACGCCATTCATCCCGCAGCGCTCCTAGCAGCCTCTGGAGTCACCGAGCAGCGGGAGTGCGTCTAAGCGTGAGTCTGAGTGTGCACATGTGTGAATGTGTGTGAGGTGTGCTTGTCCATTCTACCTGGTGTGTATCTATGTCAGGGAGAATATATAGAGGGAGAACTTGATTACAGAAACGTTGGGAAGAAAGGACCATGGGCCCTTGGTCCTTCAGACCAGGTTTGTGGGGTGGGGATAGGAGGGGCTGGGGAAAACTCACAATAGGCTAACCAGCCCTGGGAATTCGGACCTCAGAGTGCAGAGTCCGGCATGAGCAGGTAAGCAATGACTTGGCCCTGAGCTTGGTCACAGTCCTTGGAGATGAGCTGGAGTGCTGAGTAGGCTGGAGACCTGTTTCATCTGGTTTGACAGGTGGATTCAGCTTTCTGGAGGGTCCTGCACTGGGAAGGGTGGGATATAGTAAGCTCAGCATCTGACCCTTCACATCACCCAACTTCTCCCCACCAAGGAGTGTGGGAAGTGTGGGGCATCTTTTTTCTGACAAGGGCCAGCCATTCGGGCATTTATAACATCATTTAATATAAATGTATGTTGCTATGAAAAAAGTTCCGAGACTTACTGAATTCCGAGTCCAGCCTTGGCAGGGCTGGACCACATGGTGTCCTACCCCTTGGCATATGAGGACAAGAGTCTCACAGCATTACCACCCATTCTACAGACAAGGAAGCTGAGGCACAGTCTGCCAAATCAGAGCCCACTTCCCCTTCCCCTCAGAGACTGCCCAATGTGGGAGACCATAGCACTCCGGTTTCACTCCGCAGGGCTCTGAGCTGGTATGGGACTGCAGTGGGGTCGGGCTGGGGGCACTCTGACTGGACTCCCTTCACTCCCCTCCCCCAGGTGCTGAGGACTGGACATGGGTCCATCAGGTCTGAAGGAGTGATGTCGGCCCAGGAGCTTGTGGCCTGCCTCTGCAGGGAGGGCGACCAGCATCTGGCCCTGGGACAGTCTCTGTTGGCCACTGCCTTCTACCTGGCAGCCTTCAGCTGCCATGCCCCCTCAGCAGTGCGGAGTGTTCGTTCGGCCCTGGCAGAGACCCGGGGAACAGCCGTGGTCACCACACTGGAGGCCTGGTGCCGTGGGGATGGCCAGATCCCCACCATCCACTGGGATGGCATGGCAGTGGTGTCTCTGACAGGAACCCTGGCTTCTGCCTTCCTGGCCGCTCTGTGCCCAGACCACCCGGCTTCCGTGCTGCACACACTGGCTGGTCTGCTGGCCCACGGACGTCATGAGGAGGTGGCTCAGCGCTGCGATGCCCTGCTGGCCACCCACTCTCAGCAAACCCTGGAGCTGCAGTTGACCCGAGCCCTGGCCTGGGTCCTGTCCCGAGTGCAGGTGGACAATGGTGTGGCCGACTACCTGCAGGCTTTTGCTGAGAGCCCTGAGCAGACAGTAACTTTCATCCGAGCCCACCAACAGCCCTACCTCCCCCTGCTGGTCTGCACCCTCCAGGACCACATCTCAGGTCACCGGGAGACAGCAAGCATTGCCAACCAGCAGGAGACCAACTGCCATCGACTCATGGCTGCCCTAGGTCCTGGGGGTGCCCGGAGCCAGCAGCCCCTCCCACCCACAGCACTGCTCCAAGAAGGCAGGTATGAGGACTGCCTGGCAGCATGCAACCAAGCCCTCGAACCAGATGCAGTAGGCAGCCAACCCCAAGGTAGGAGTGCAGTCCACATCTCCTTGGGTCTGGGTGACAGTCCCGCCACCATACCTTCTCAGCAGGTGAAGACCTGGGTTGGCCATGGGATCCCACGGGCCCAACTGTGAGCAGGTGGCCCAATCTTTGTGAGGCTGAACGTGGCCCTTGGCAGCCAGGGCTCTGAGAAGTATGGAAGGCTGGTGTCACCTAATCTGTAGATCGTTGGTCGGGAGAGTGAGCAGTACTGGGCCTCTGGGGGCCTCAGGGAAGGCCTTGTTTAGGGGCTTGGGTCACCACATTGCCAAGATGGCCAGGTCTCCTGCCCTTGTGAACATTCAGCAAATAAACACACAAAATCAGAGAACCACCGGAACTGTGCTAAAGAATGGGCTGTGCTCAGTGATCAGGGAAGGCGTCTTAGAGGTGGTGTGCTTGAGCTGAGACTGGAGAAGCTTCTGTGAGGACTGAGGAAGTGACTCCAAACTGTGGAGACAGAACACCCCTGGTCAATGTGGAGTGGGAAGCTTGGAGACTGCAGGCATCTTAGAGTCCTGGGGACAAGGAAGTAGGAACATTGAAGCTGCACAGTGTGGCATGAGATGATTTGAGATGCACATGAAAAGCATCCTCAGGCTGAGGTGTTCACAAGTCACCCAAAAGAAGCTGTGTGAGAACAGCCTGCCGGGAGGCTGCCCTTGATTCTGGTGCGTGGTGATGATGATCCGGATGGGAGAGGGTAGGAGAGAAGTGGAGGCGTGAGAGGTCCCAGAGTTGGAGGTGACTGGGAATGCTGGTGGACTTTCGTGGTGACGAAAGGCATGGTCAAGGGTGTCAAGAGTGATTTTAGGAGTCCAGCTGGAGCCGTTGGCCTGGGGGACAGAGAAGGGGGCTCAGAAACATTGGGTGTTCTAGGGAGTCCTGGTGTGGTGCTATGGGTTAATGTGATGGACTGCAAAGTTGGTTTGAACCGCAAAGTTGATGGTTCAAGTTCACCAGCCGCTCTTGGGAAACCCTATATAAGGTCGTTATGGGTCGGAACCAACTCTACGGCACAACAGCAGTCTAGGACGCTGCTCCTCCTTGGTCTCTACTGGCTCCTTCTTGGAGGACTGTGTGTGGGTGGTTAGGAGCACTGCACCGTCAGCTCACCACACAGCTAGGTCCCTCTGTGTGTCACCGGGTACACGTGGTGGGGGAGATGTGGATATGAACTAATTGACAAGATGCCCCAAACCTGTAAATAAAAATGGTATCTGCCTCACAGTCAGAGCTCAAGAAATGTCACCTGAGCCAATTGGCAGAAGTGGCTGGACACAGGGGCCTTGAAGTGAGAAGGGCCTTGGGTTGAAGAATGAGTTATGGAGACGTCAGAGCCTAGCACAATGTAGAACTCAGAGTCCAAAGAGGGAGAGAGCAGTGAGGAGAGGAAGCTCATCCTAGATGCACCCTAGGACATGTCGAGGTGCTGACGTTCATCCACAGCCTCTTCCTCAGAGATGGACAGCGCCCACACCATGTGTGCGTGGTCCACAACACATGCCGAGAGTTCGGTGTGTTAGAGATGGGCTGGCTTTGGACTTGAGGGTGCCTCTAATCACCCACACAGCTCCCCTAGAGAGAGAGGCCAACAGGGGATGGAAGAGCAGCCCAGGATGAAGGAGGGCGATGCAGTACCTGTGGAACATGGATGAGAGGTGGGATGCACCAAACACTCCACCTTAGAAAGCAGCTGCTGAGCATATGCCTAGGCTCTTATGGATGACAAAATATGGAGGCAGAGGCCAGATAGAGACAACTTGGCATGGATTGAATCATGTCCCCCAAAACATGTGTCATACGTGGTTGGACCATGATTCTCAGTGATTTCGCGGATCTGTAATGATGTAATCTGATATGATCCACCTTGATCTGATGTGAGGGGAGTTGCCCTGGAGTGCAGCCAGCATCGCCTTTTATCTTCTTGTTGTTGTTAAGTACCGTGGAGTCGGTTCCGACTCATAGCGACCCTGCACAGGGTTTCTGAGGCTGTAAATCTTTACAGGAGCAGAAAGCTTCATCTTTCTCCCACAGAACAGCTGGTAGTTTCAAACTGCCGGCCTTGAGGTTAGCAGCCCGATTCGTAACCACTACGCTACTTGATGTTGTTAATTGCCATCGAGTCTGTTCACCTGATGTTGTTAGGTGCCGTGAAATCAGTCCTGACTCATAGCAATCTTATCCACAACAGAACTAAATGCTACCCAACTGCACCATCCTCACAATTGCTGTCACCACTGAGTCCATTGCTGCTGCCATTGCAATATTTCATCTCACTGGGGTCTTCCTCATTTTTGCTGACCAGCCACTTCACCTACCAGGATGTCCTTCTCCAGGTCCTCCTGAGAATATGTCGGAAGTATAAGAGAAGTCTGGCCATCCTGGCTTCTAAGGAACACTCTGGTTGTACTTGTTCCAACACAGATTTGTTTGTTCTTCTAGCAATCCACGGTGCTTCTAATATTCTCCTCCAACACCATAACTCAAATGCATCTATACTTCTACAGTCTTCCTTATTCACTGTCCAACTTTTACATGCACATGAAGCTGCTGAAAATACTTTGTCACGCCTTAGTCTTCAAACTGACATCTTTACTCTTCAACACTTTAAAGAGGTGTAATGTAATACATCATTTGATTTTTTTCACTGCTGCTTCCTTGAGTGTTGATGATGGATCCAAGCAAAATGAAGTCTTTGATAACTTCAGTCTTCTCTCCATTTATCATGATGTTATTTATTGCTCCGTGGTGAGGATTTTTGTTTTCTTTACATTGAGGTGCAACCTATACTGAAGTCTTTGATCTTCATCAGTGAGTATTTATTGTCTGATCTTCATCAGTAAGTTCTCTTCACTTTGAGCAAGCAAGGTTGTATCATCTGCATATCTCAAGTTGTTAATGAGTCTTCCCCCAATCCTGTTGCCATGTTCTTCTTCATATAATCTAGCTCATTGGATTATTTGCTCAGCATACAAATTGAGTAAGTATGGTGAAAGAATACAACCCTAGCGCACACCTTTCCTAATTGTAAATCATTCAGTGTTCCCTTGTTCTGTTAGAATGACTGCCTTTTGGTCTATATATGGGTTCCTCAAAAGCACAGTTAAGTGTTCATAAATATTCATGCTCCTTAGTGTTGTCCATAACTTGT